ACACACACACACACACACACACACACACAGGCACACACTGCATGGACAGGGAACACTCCCTTCCCCTCAGGCTTCTCCAGGACTCCAGGTCTGCCCACAGCCCAGGCTGACGTCCCCACTCTCCCTGGGCCCCGTCCAAAGCCTGTGCGTCACTGACAGCTTGTCTCTGGCACCTTTCATCCAAGGGTCCCCAAGCTCCTGACTATTATTATCTGGCAACAATGATCCTTGAACTTCTGCCGACAGCTGTGAGACCTGGCACCCACGGGTGATAGCCCAAGGTCAGTTCACTGGAAAGAGACTATCTGGGGCGGAAGAGGACCAAGGACTAAGACCAGGTAGCTAGGGCCTCATGTGGAAGTGCCCCTCCACACCAGTGTCTGGGAGGGAGAACACAGGACTGAGAATTACGGAAGCTGAGTTCCGGCCCCAGCTGTGTCTCCAGTGTGCTGTGTGATGTTGGTGAAGTCACTCACTGTCTCTGGGGCTTGGTTCACCTATATGTAAGCCAAAGTGTCAGTCTGGAAGATCCTCAGCCTCGCCCTCCACTCTCAGCTCCAGACAACCTGGGAGCAAGCCTGTATTTACTTAAGTAGTGAGGGAGAACTGGGTTCTAGGTCTTTCCAGACCATTCCGGCACCACACAGCTGCCAGACTCCCAAGGCAGCCACAGAAGTTCGTGCCCCTGTATTTGCCTGACAGCAGCAACCCCGAAAATGAACACCCTGCGGGAATGGGCCCAGGGCATTTCCTCCAGTGTTCCGGAAACCCTCGCTGTCCACGCGTTTGTCTTCCATCCTGCTATCGAGCTGCCTGGGCCATCACACAGGTCTTCAGGCAGGTCAGAGAGAAAGGAAGTCATCCCTGCTGTCCTCTGAACTAAGGTCCAATTGGACACCCGCGTGGAGCACTGAGGATTCCCTCAGACCCACAGGAACCTTCTGGCTCTGCAAGAACCAAAGTCTCCGAGTGAGGCAGACCCACCTCCAGGTGGCAAGACCATGGCAGAATGGCACCATGGTCAAGAGTGGGGGTGCTGGACCAGGCCTGGACTTGAATTCTAGTTCCCTCTTGCTAGCTATGTGACTCTGGGCAAGTTACTTAACCCCCCTGTAAAACACAGTAATTAGGGACCAGCAGTTGGCGTAATGGCTATGTCGCTGAACTCCCATGTGGTCGACCACGGTTCGAGTCCCAGACCTGGTGGTTTAAACTCATGCCGGGCGCGTGTGCATGTGTGCCCAAATGCCGAGAGGAGAATGGAGGAGAGGGGATTGCAGCGTGGCCATCCTCCTTGGGGAATGATTTCTCGCTTTCTGTCTCTCTGTCTCTGTCTGTCTGGAGAGCGCATGCACCCTATAGCAAAAACCTCTCAAAAAAAAAAAAAACAGAAAAAACATGGTAATCAAAATAACATCGTGAGGCCTCAGTGAATTAATCTGGATGAAATGCTTAGGTGTTCCCTCATTGTCTCCATCTCCATCGTCACCACCACCCGTCACCACCGTCATCGCTGTCGTCTCTGTCATCACCACTGGCATTATCACCAGCACCACCATCGTCCTTGACTGTCCTCAGGAAGCTGAGATTCTGCCTGTAGCTGGCAGGGGCTGGCTGAGACTCTGGCTCAGTTTCCTCCGTGTAATGTGGCCACACTAGCAGAGGTTTTCAAACTTTTCAAGGGCTGAAATTTTTGTTCCAACAAAAGTGTGCAGATGGGGGACCAGCAGTTGGAGTAATGGCTGTGCCGCTGAACTCCCATGTAGTCGACCGCATTTGAGTCCTGAACCCGGTGGCTTAAACTCACACCAGGCGCGTGTGTGTGTGTGCCCAAGATTCCGAGAGGAGAATGGAGGAGAAGGGATTGCAGTGTGGCCATCCCCTGGGGGGTGATTTCTCACTTTCTGTCTCTCTCTGTCTTTCTGGTGAGCGCATGGGCCTTATAGCAAAACCTCTCCAAAAAAAAAAAAAATGCGCAAATGGGACCAACAGTTGGCATGGTGGTTAGGATGTTGGACTCCCACATGGCCAACCATGGTTCAAGTCTCAGACCTGGCAGCTTGCTTTCTCATTCCCTTCCCTGGCTCTGTCTCTCTCGGGTGAGTACATGTACTCTATAGCAAATTAAGAAAAAATAAATCATGGGATTGGCTGGTGGTGTGGTGGTTAGGGTACTGGCTAACTATGGTTCAAGACCTGGACCTGGCAGCTTACTTTCTCACTTCCTCTCTTTCTCTGTCTCTGGTCAAATTTAAAAATAATAAAATGTTAAAGTAAATAATACATTTTAAAAGTCAATAAAATAATTTCTGTAAAAATCATAATAAATAAATAATTCTTTTTTAAAATAAAACAGAAAAAGTTAGAGCAAGAGGAGGAAAAGCAGGGGCCTGGAGCCCACTCAGCAGCCCCTCTCTCCTGGATGCCCACCCCCCACCCCGATCTTCCAGCTTCTACGTTCTACTAGGTCATCCTTCAGAAAAGTCATGACGTGTTTTTCTGTTTTCCTATGCAAAAATGCACCATGACTTTCCCAATGACCCAATAGAACTTTATGGCCAGGTACTTGCTGTGAAGGCTCAGGGTTTTTCTAGCAGACTCAACTTAACAAAATTTGCCAGTTTTCAATACCCCAAGGCTTAAGAGAAATGACCTTCCCAAGGTCAAGAGCAAAGCCTGGGATCAGAATCTGGAACAGAACCGAGAGCCCATCTTCCCTAGGGGCAGTCACAGCCCTGGGAGTTAACATCGCCTCTCCCCTGGCCCCAGAGAAGCCCTCCTCCCTGAACCGCAGACACTGTGAGGACAGAAGCACCTGGCATGACTCTGTAATCCTGCAGCCTCAGACGCCACAGGGCATCTGGCCCTCGGGGGCCTGCCAGGGACCAGTAGCCTCAGGCATCATGCCTGGTCCTGGCCCTTGGTCTTGGCAGGCCTCTCAGATCCACCTTGGGAAGGGAGATGACACAATACCCGAGTCTCCTTCAAGACATCCAAGACACTGCCTTAGGGCTGGCAGGCCCACATCACCTTGGAAAGACACCTGCTTGCAAACCCAGGTCTCCCCCCACCCCCGACGGTCCTGCCTCCTCTACAAAGACAGAGGGGATCCCAGCTCAGGAGAGTGGGGAGGGGTCTCAGAGAGCATGGCAGATGAGCACTGCATTTGGTCAATAGAGAAACAGGACTCAGAGACACGCAGTGCCTGATCCAAGGTCACACAGCAAATCGTGGCTCAGGAGTTGATGTCAACTTGGAGGGGGGAGACGCTTATCCAGACAGGGCCTGTCTCAGCCCCAGCAGCCTGCTGACAGAGACGGGAGGAGAAAGACACAGGGCGGCTCTGAGACGCCTTAGTCAATGGAAACTTGGCTGTCCTTCCTCAAGGGTCCCAGCATGGACACTAAGCCCTGAGAGTTCGGACAGCAGAGCTTCCAGGACGCTGTCCTCCCAGGCAGAAGGCGAGGGGGATGGCGAAGCCTGAGGGGGACCCAGAGACGTCTAAATGGCGAGGAAACTTTCTGGGTCTGTGAGTTATAGCACTGAAGCCAATTCATCTGCCCACAGCAACCCTGGGCCACTTCTTTTCAGGGATAGAAATGGCAGTCCTTATCCCTTAGACTTTTGACCTAAACTAGCCCAGCACCCAAGCCAGAGAAGGGACCAGGAGCAGGGGAGAGTCTGTCATCCTCTGGGGTAGAAACGATGGGAAATGGGATTCTGTGTCCAAACCACACACGGTTCTCTAGGGGCAAACTCAGAATTTTTTGTTCATTTATTTTTTGTTTATTTAGGAACCTCCGCTATTGAAAGCAGGGTATGCTTGAAGACCACTCATTCCAGACCCTCAAATTCAAGATATACTCAAGTCAAAGGGCCTCTGTTTTCTGGCCTCTAATTATAGTACTTTGAAAGGTCCCCCTTCTGGGCTTCATCTGTAATGGTGACCAGCGTTTCTAAAACTCACCATATTGTAAGAGCTGTTAGGACCCTTCGATGTATCCTTTTACTTAATTCTCAATTCGGCTCTATAATGTAGGTATTGGGGTTTTCTTCCATTGCACATGAAAGGAAATTGAGGCTCAGAGAAGGTGAGTACCTTCCCAAGGTCACACGACTGCTCAGTGGCATAGCTAAGTCTGGAACCAGGCCTGTCTCACTTCGAAGGCCATGTCTTAGTCTTGACACTTTATGGACTTCAATAGGCTTGTGACCCTGGGGATTTGCATCTCCTTGGGTCCTTCTTGCCCTTATCTAGTAGGTTAGGTGCACAAGACCTCTCAGGGCAGTTCTTAATTCTGGCTGTCTAGAACTCTAAGAGGTCTCCTGATGGGCTCCAGGCACCCAGGGTTCGAGCGCTCTCCAACTACGGGGCTGTTGTAGGTCTCTTTGTCTTTCCTGAGTCTAACCCTTGACACTTAAAAGCAAAGAAAAATCAAGTGGGGGTTTTGACAACCTCAACTAATACAGCCAAGTGGTCTACCCTGGGCAAACTTTCTGCCTGGGGCTTGAACACCTTTGATCTTCGGGATGTGGGTAATGGGGATAATGAGATCTCTTCCTTTTACCTGATGAGGACTTCCTGCCCATGGCCTGCGACGTCAGCCTCCACCTTCCCCCAGACGTTCAGCACCAGCTGCCACTCCCCATCGCTGAGCCCCATGGCGCCGTCTGAAGAAGACAAAAGGAGTGAGAGCGAGCTGACTGGGTGTGCGGCCGACAGCTGGGGTGTGAGGCTGACTGGCCTCAACAGGGCTTTTATACTGTCCGGATGTTGACACAAATCACTTGATGGCTCGCTCTCTCCCTTCCCCCACTCCTTGCTCCCTCTCTCTCTCTCAGGGGTCTAATCTTCCTTTCCCCAGCCCTCACATGGGAAGCTATTTTGGGGCAGGTGCCATTGTGGGGAGGTAGGATAGCTCAGGCCATGGGGGTGGGGCTGAGATATGTGTGGAAAGAGTAGGGAGGAGGCCGGCCCTGTCTGGACTTCTCTAAGCCCACAGAAAGGGCATGGCCTTCAGCCTGAAATGCGAACCTCCCTGTCGTCAGCTGTCCCAAGAGAGCCTGTCATGTTTCTAAGCTTGGGCACCAGGTGGCCAGCTGGCCTGGGACAGTCCAGGCCCTTAGCCTCACTTCACTCACCTTCTGCCTGTTTTGCCAGATGGTCTTTACCAGCTAGTGGTGGGAAGGGGCCTCGATGGTTCTGTGCTTACAGCTGGATAACCCCAGGCAAGGCCACGGCTCTCAGAGAACGCCTGGGTGGGGCATCCTGCTTAAATGCTTCCCTGAAATGTTCTGCTCAATGTATGCCCTCAAGGCACACTGACCTGCTCCCTTCCTCTTCCGCTCATGTATGTTCTTGTGTTGTTCACCTCACTGCACTTACCTCCTCATCCCATACTGGCTCTTCCATATCCAACAGCAGCCAATACTCAGACTCTTTGATGGGCACCAGGCCCTGATCCAAGCATCTTACATTTGCTAACTCGTCAATTTCCCAGCCATACAGGATGACTACTGACCTTCCCCCATTTAACTGAAGAGGAGTGAGGACAACTTGCCACACCCCACAGCTAATTGACAGCAGAGTTGAGACTTGACTGAGAAAGTCAAACTCCCAAGTTCATGCTCCTGAAAACCTTATTTTAGTCTTCAGGAGAGAAGACTACTTTATTAATTTCTATATCTCTTGGGCTTCACTCAGTGCCCCATACCTAGTTTAAGCTAAGTAAATGTTTGTATAATAGACTAAAAAGCTGGATGGTCCTGCAAGAAGGCAAGTGGTTGATGATGAGTCTTCTTATATCCACGTTTCTCTCCATCCACCCATTCCTCATCCACCTATTCCTCATCTACCTACCCACCATCCATCCACCCATCGTCCTTCCATCATCCACATGTCCATCATCCACTCATCTCTCAGTATCCATTACCCATCCATTCATCATCCACCTTTCTTCGTCATCATACAACATTCATCCATCATCTCTCCACTCCTCCATCTATCCATCTACCCATCCATCACAAATTCATCCATCATCCACACACTTATCATCACCTCATCCATCATTATTCATTATTCACTTATCCATCATCCACCTCTTCATCATCATCCACCATCTCTTCACCCCTACATATATCCATCTATCCATCTGCACATCCATCACAAATCCATCTATCCATCCACCATCCATCCATCATCCACGCATCTATCACCCACTCATCATCATTATCTGTTATCCCCCCATCTATCACCCACCTCTTCATCGCTATCCATCACTTCTCCACTCCTCCATCTATCTGTTTATCTACCCATCCATCATGACTCCCTCCATCCATACATCATCCACACATCTATTGTCCACTCATCCATCATTACCCATCACTATTCCTCCATCCATTGCCCACCTCTTCATCGTCATCCATCATCTCTCCAATCCTCCATCTATCCATCTGTTCATCTATCCATGCACCATGAACCCCTCCATTCATCAGGCATCTGTCCATCTATAATGCATCTCTTATGCACCCATCATCTACCCCTCCATCTATCATGTTCATCCATCCATTTATGCATCAATGATCTGCTCAGCCCTTGTACAGCCATCATCTCTCCATTCCTCCGTCCATCCTTCTGTTCATCCATCCATTTATTCATCATGTATGCATCCATCTATCATGCACCCATCCATCCATTCATCATGCATCCATCCACTCATCATGCATTTATCCATCATGTATCTGTCATCTCTCTAACCTTCTATCTATCTGATCATCCATCCACCCATCAAGTATCCATCATGTTTCCATTCCCTATCTATCCATCTGCTCACCCATTCCTCCATCCATCCATCTGTTCATCCATCCATTTATCCATCAAACAGCCATCATCCATACACCCATCCCTCCCACAGTCTTAGAGTGCCTACTGCATGTAGATGCCTCTATGTGCCGAGGATAACAAAATCATATCCCTGTGTTCAAGAAACTCACCATCCCTTTGGGGACATAAATATGAGGACTAAAAAGTACCATGTGGTTTATTTGGTGCTATGATCAAGGTAAGCATAGGCCCTTTCTTTCATCTACACAGAGCTTTACAATGTACAAAGTGTCTCCCTCGCGAGATTGCATCTAATCTTCACAACGCCCTGGGAAGGTAGCAAGCACTTTCCTATTTTATAGCTGTGGAAGACGGCGGTTCAGAAGGGAAGAGCAAGTGTTTGGGCTGGCCTGGTCTGTGTTAGATATGGTCGTAAGAACTGCCTATCTACAGAGCTCTTTTTAAAGACCACTGCCTGGCCCCAGTTCCTGCT